CTCTTTCCATAGAGCAATGGATGCAAGTTCCTCTTTGTTGTGATAACTTTTGTTTTGGTGCAATTTATTAATTTGTTTATTCATTTTTGATTTTGCTTGGTGGCAGGGTTTACATTTGCTTAGTCGTGGCCATGTATGGGATTTGGTCCATACATATCATTAGTGTAAAGCGTTATGGGATGCTATTAGCGAAAATTAAACTATATAAAATGAAAGTATTATAATGTAACATGACGTGGCCCAGCGGCAGTACATTTGCAACTTGTTGCAGAGGTTCGAATCCGGCAAGCTACCCTGGCTTTTATTGAAACAATTAAAAACGATTTAGATTTGTATTTCACCAGATAAGGCCCACTGAGCTACATAGATATTTTTCAGAAGCGACCTGGCCACAAACGATAGCCCAAAGAGGTGGCTCATCATGTGGAAATGTATAGCGGCCAAATATTCTCAACGCGTGTTTTTAAATGTGGAGAGAAAAAACCCGAGAGCCAGGGAGAAAAATCCACACGACCACGAGGAGAATACGCAATCTCCAAATATACAGGCGTCGGGGTCGAGATCGAAGCCACGATCTCCTGCATACCAGGCGAGGTAGTTAACCAATCACAACCGCGGAGCCCTATTGCGAGTGTGTTCACCACAAAATACTTGCCCTGTCTGAAATTATATTCTTAGGTTCTTTCGGTAAAGTCACGTAGGTAAAAAATTAAAATTAATAAAAGCACCGAACCTCAAAAAAATAATATTCAGGGCCTACCTTGGCTCCTCCCACCCTCAACCAGTATATATACAAGGACTGTTTTCTTGGAATTTCTCTCAATTGATACAGCTATCGTGCTGTGACGGTTCCACCTGAAGACGGAAGCTTGTGTTGCCTCCGAAACGTCGTGATTTTTATTTTATTTTTATTTTACTTTTATTAATTTAAAATGTTTACCTACGTGACTTTACCGAAAAAACCTAAGAATATGAATCCTTGCAGTCACGAAAGCTTCAAACCTGTCTGAAATTCACACCTAAATTAATGGCAATAGCTAAGAGGAGGAAGCTATGACGGTTTGGCTGTTGTCACTCGAGGAGCAGAAGGACTTTCCAGTGCCATCCTGCGGGGCCGAGGAAGGGAAGGGAGGTCGGCCAAGGAGCAGCTCAGTGGCGATGACGAACGTAGCAACAGGCAGGTCAGTGGTGGACGAGTGGATTGTAAAGGACCGCAAGGGGTGGGAGAGTTGATTTACAAAAGAACACTGGGTGCCACCAATGACCCCTTAAAGTAAAGGGTGTGAGGTTGACGACTATGTTGATGTCACCTGGTTATTCATGTAAATATACACACACATACGTGCAAACATTAAAGGTGATCCCCTTCTCAACAATGTTCAATGTTTACCAAGTCGGAAACCTGACATACAGAAGCGGTTTAACAATCATAAATATTATATTGATGGGGATCAACAGACACCAATAAACCATGGCAGGCATTCAATGAAACTGAAAATGTTATTTTAGATTATTCTATTTTGTGGTGTTCTGAATGTATTGTAATACCTTGACACGTCTCTACTGGTGGTAAAGTTACAATGTAAATGACATTTTAAAAAAAACATAACTTATTTCCTGGATGAATGAGGGGGGATTCCCAACACTGAGTAAGTCATGGGGGTTATTTGGCCGTACTTTCTGACGCGAGTGAGTGCAGGTTAGTAAATTGGGGATGCCCAGGACCGGTTAATATATTACTCACCACCAGTGCGAGCTGTGGTTGGGAATCGAACTCAACTTTTCCGGGTTCATAGGGGTGGTGTAAACCTCCACTGTTCCTTACTTCCAGGGCTTAAAATAGCACACATTCGAATATTTCCAGCGCTTGTGGTCGAGACTCATGGTCTAGTTTTGACAGATGAGCCCAGGTTTGTCGAGTTTGTTAAATAGTCTTGGTTCTTTCGGTAAAGTCATGTAGAAGGGAAATAATAAAGAGTCGCGTAGAAGGGAAATAATAAAATTATTTTTTTCCCTTCTACGTGACTTACCGAAAGAACCAAGAATACGAATCCCTGCAGCCACGAAAGCTTTAAATCAGAGTTTGTTCCAATTAGTTTTTCCTATTTCCCCCAACTATATCTCCTGATTGTGCTATTATTGGTGTCTTCATGAGAAGAATACCGGATTCAGATATATGACAGAGCAGTGCGACCCCCCCTTTCATATTAAGAGAATGCACACGAAAGCGGATATCACAGAACTAACCTCTGGTGCACATAAACATGGGGGGGGGGGGCGATCAGTACCTTCCAAAATTCCCAGCTGTAGAGAAATGTACGTCGCATGACTGTCTGACCTTCATTGTGAAATTTTCAAGGGTTGGACTTTACCCAAATGAAGTGCAAATTGATATTTAATACGATGGGGTGTTTTTTTTGCATTAATTGGTGACCAGGATGAGCGCACCAACTCACCGAACTTGAAAATCCGGCTTAATCACAGGCAGCTGCCCGGATTCAGACCCAGGAACTCGGCGGTGACAGCTCAGCGCTCTGACCTCCGAGTCACCTGCCTGCCAATTTTTGTAAACCAGAAGCACGCGAGCAAGTATACCCCCCCCCCCCCCCCAGCAGCGGAGTTCCGTGAGCGGCAAAGTTATGAGCGCGCAACGTGTCGAGAGATTTTTTTTTGTCTTTCACCGAAGACTCTCGTTCATGGCCATGCTTCACAACGTGTCGAAAGACATCATGAGCATGGCGCAGCACCGTGCTCGAGTTGGAAACTCCACGTATCCATGACGGGGCCAGCCTATCCAAAGAGTGAAACCAAAAAGTTAACTTGACGTAAACTTGAGCAACTCGTTTTTTTTTGATCGGGTCAAGGGGATCGTGATGTCTATCGGTGATGTGGTGGTGATGCAATTCCTGTATGGTGGCATTGATGATGAGATTAAGATAAGTCTCTGATGGATGTGTCGGCTCCACTGCTGCTTTGAGAAGGTAAACATTGAACTACATTTCAAAAACCTTTAATAATTGAAACAAGTGTTTCATGGGATGAAGGGGTATGCAACTTGGAAATCTGTCAGTGTGGCAGGAGAGTGCTGTAGATGTACAACACTTTCCTGCCGGGAAAACGAGGTTGTGATGGAAGGTTCAACTCTGCAGGGTGTAAGATGAGAGGATGAGCAACTTGGAGGTTGAGAATAGAATGTGGCAGGAAAGCGCTGTAGAGATAATGATGAGGTTATGAAGGGTGGAACACGCGTGCAGGGTGGAGAAGGGCAGGTTAGAGGGGCAGGTATTGGAGTGTCACCCAGATGTTGGTGACCCAACCCAGACGCTGGTGGCTATGTCCTAAAACGAAACTATTTTTATCTTACCAGGTAAGGCCCACTGAGCTATTATAGCTCTTTTTCAGACGTGACTTGGCCACAAATAACAGCTCAACGAAGTGGCTTATCACGTGGAAATTTACAACGGCCAAATCATCTAAACGCATGTTTGTGAATGGAGGGAAAAACCGGAGGACCCGGAGAAAAATCCGAGCATGCAAACTGCAAATATACAGGTGTCAGGGTCAAACCCACGACCACCTGCATATACCAGGCGAGGTAGTAAACAACTCTCCCTACCATGTCCTGACTGTAGGAGCCATGCATGCAACAAGACAAAACCTAATGCCTGACCATTGATCACGACGACGCTGATGAGAGGGTAAGAGTGGGCCCCCCCTCCCCTTGGAGACCTGGAGCCGACCACGCGACAAGTCGCATGCCCTGGCAGGTGGAATCGCTCCGAGGCCATGCCGGCAACAGCATCGCCGCTGGCCCCCCGATGACGACCGCTTGGCTCGCCTCACCAGATCGTGTTTCATCAGCTGCTGCTGCTGCTGCTGCTGTTGTTGTCGTCCCTTATGCACAAAGTGTTCTCCCGCATTGGCCACGGGGCAAATATAAATTCTGCGCAAATAGCATGGTGGAAAGGTAAATGAATGGCGGCCAGCGAAAGTACACCTTTAATAATGCATTCGGAACAGACGAGGGCTGGGGGAAGTTGTGGGGGCGGGGGTGGCTGTTGCTATTAACGGAGACGTTTTTGAACTTGAAAGGAAATGCTGATTTTAATGAGAGAAGCGTCTGTTGGACCACTATCGTCGAGAGAATCTATCAGAGACTGAGCGTTTAGTCTATTACTCGAAGACGCAACAGGAGACTGGTTTTACGAGTATATTACTGTCCAGAGACCTGTTCAGAGTGTGGATTGCATGTCTATCATTGTCAAGAGACCCCATCAGAGACCCGGCTGCGAATCTATTATTCTCTTGAGATTTTAACATGGACCAATCTTGTTTGTTTATCGCCATCGAGAAACCCCATCATAGAGCGGTCGGTTAGCCTTTCATTAGTGAGTGATATGTGAATCGGTCCCGAGCCCTGACAAACAACAACCGGCACGAACCGGCATGGTGAAGTATGGTCAAACAACCTCCACATCTCTGTGGAGCTCATCGAATTCCTCCAGCAAAAATATTCTGATTCTGACAACGAACAAAACGTGTAGTGGTCTTTTGCCCACAAAGCGGATCGACGGGCTGAAAATTACAATTATTATTTTGACGACCATCACTATTCTTGCACACAATAAACAAAATAAGCGGGCACGCGCATGGATGTGTGTGTAAGATAACCCTGCCGATCTCGTCAAGGAGCATAAGTGTTCTGATAATAACCAATCTCCGGTCATCCTCGCAGCAACGGCTTTTGGCTGGCCATCGAACAAAGACGCGCGCTTTGGGATGCGCTTCTGCTGGCCATCTGGAATGTTCTTCCATCCGATATTAGGAAGCCACTGGAGCTATGCAGTTTTAATCTCGATTCAAAACACATCTTTAGAATTGATTATTTATTTAGTTTGTTGTCCTCGCACCCCTCCCCCGCACCTCCGATTGGCATGGTTGGCTACGTACGGTGCGAAAGAAGTTCAACGCACACATTCACACGCACGCAACACGCTCACCGTGAAGCTGTTGTTGACGTTCTTGGTGCTGCTCTCCGCCACGCTGGCGTCCGTCAGCTCCACTTCGTCAAAAATCAGCGACTGCCGGCGTCCGCGTCGACCCGGCGGGGCGCAAGAGGAGGCGACGACGTCGCGCGTAAGGGGGTTGAGTGACGACGGGAACAGAGGAGGGAGTCACACGAAGGGAGGGAGGCGGCAAGAGAGCGAGGGGGGGGGTTAGCCAGAGTGGGCTGTAAGTGTTGCTTTCTGATAACCAATCTCCCTTGACAATCCATGAGGGCACTTCCTCGGAAAAAAAAGAGAGCTATTTATTAATTAAATTGTTCGTGCTCGTTTGGAGAAGTAAACAGTTCCCTTGAGAAGGGGCAGGCGGCTTTATGGACGAGACACAGTTTTGCACGAGCTATTCATTTCTTTTATTTAAGCCCAGGTGAAAGTCCATTGGAGGCGGCAGCAGTGGCGCAGTGGTTATCGCGCCGCGTTATAAAAATAAAGGGAAAATCTCGTGACACCACTGGAGCCCTCTCGTGGAGCCATACGACTTCTGCTTTGGTGGCGAGATGTTAACTACCTCGCCTCGTATACAGGAGGATGGTGGGTTCAATCCCGACCCCCGACGCCTGTATATTTGGAGTTTGCATGTTCTTCCCGTGGTCGCGTGGATTTTTCTCCGGGTTCTCCAGTTTTTCCCTCCACATTTAGAACCAACGTCACGCGTTCAGAGTTATTTGGCTGCAATGCATTTCCACACGATGATAAGCCACTTCGTTGAGCTATCATTCGTGGCCAGGTCACTTCTGAAAAATATCTACGTAGCTCGGTGGGGCCATGCGTGGTAAAATAAAAAAAAAATACTTTAGTTTCATTTGTGGGATTGACAATGGAAGGAAGTGATTGTGTGAACTGCTGGCCAGAAAGTAAAAACAAATTGGGGTCGGCTACGGGGCTATCGTTTCGCACCTCAGTGGCCGCCAATCTATTCCGCCACATCCCTTCCGCACACTCCGTGGGTGCCGCGCAGCGTAATGTGGAAACTGTTCATTTTTGCCGAGAACCGACAACCGCATGCAACCAGCGCCCTCCCACGGTTGAGCACAGGGCAGGGGGGGGGGCAGGTGCCGCAGTAGTAACGAGCGCTCCCTCGTTATTCGCGAGGGATACGTTCCGGAGATGCTCGCAAATATCATATTTCGCCGGATAATGGTATTGGCCTATGAACCTTAAATCAATAGGTGAGCTTTGAAATACATGATAATTATCACAACACGAAAAAATTGGTTACAATAAAAATAAATGTTAAAGTATTAAATAATCGTTTCTAAATGAGCTTACCTTAAATTATGATGCTGCTGCGCAGTAGAAGGGTGACGCATCTCGTCACTTTATCTCATCACGTTCTCGCATCACATTCTCATCACTTTATCTCATCACTTTCTCTCCCTCTCTCGATGCAGTCGTGCAGAGTTCCAGATGCAATTCGCGCACGGTCAAAATCGCGTAAATAGCAAGTTCGTCAATAACAAGGGAATTTACTGTAGTGAGGGTTCTTGTATTCATCTCAAGAAATCCTTGCTGATTTTTCACTTTATTTGGCAAAAAAATCTTTAAAATAACAGTTGGGCTGTCAAGTGATGAACATCTCTCTCTCGCAGGGGAGGGGGGTGGGCAAGGCAAAACGCAGCACTCCGAGTAACTTGAAGGAAGCCTCGGAAGCGGCTGCGCGAGCCCTTTTCCGAGCGAACGGCGAGCTCTCACCTTTGTGTCTTTAGCGTAGTAGAGTGTGCGGGCGCGCAGCTTGAAGTACCTTCTCCTCCAGCGCTGGAACGAGCTCGTTTGCTTCATCAGAAATCCCTCCCGTACACTTAACTGCAGCGTTTGCACACAAACAAAAAAACATCACCCCCCCACGTAGCCATTAGCAGATTGTTTGGGCAAATGCTGTTCGCGAGCCCCTATTAAAGCCGGCACGGTACACGAGGACGTCTGGCCCCCTTTGTCTCCCCACTGGTGATGTTTACACCCGGCGCTAGGTACCCACTGAAGGCTGCGTTAACAAAGGGGAGGGGGGGGGGCCAGGCGTGGTTCATTCATATCATTCACCAGAAATGAAAGTCAGGTTACGGAGTTCGTAGTGCAGTGCACTAACCACAACGCCACCGCTTATGCACGTGCACACACAAACAAGCCCACACACGCAAAGCCACGTAACAGAAGCCGCCATTTGCCATTAAGTGGCAATGATGTCAACATGGTGTTTATGCCAGGCTAGGTGCACTTTCAGACCATGTGCAGTGTCGAAGGTCACTAGCAGAAAATTACTGCACTTCATCTGCTAAATGTGCTGCTCGTTTTTGAGAGCACGTACACACACAAAAACAAAGATCCCCTAAAAAGCCTTAACGGACTGTTGGGGCAAGTGCTGTTAGCGAGCACCTATGGAGGCCGGAACGGCACACGAGGGGGTGGGTGGCCAGCACCACGCCCGGCCGCCTTTGTCTCCCGAGTGGCGATGTTTACACACCGCACCGGGTACTCATTTGAGGCGGAGTTACACACACACACATCCACAGGGGAGGGTAGTTCAGAGGGCAATTTAGGACTTGGAGCTGCAGCAGCGCACACACCTGCCTGCAAACAATCAAAACTATGCACACGTGAACGAGTAAATGTGTAACTCACAAAAAGGCGATGTCGGAATGACATGCAACAGGTGGTGGCTACGGGAATTGTAATGTTACAAGACACACCGCACATATCTGCATTGGCAAATTCATCCCAGTAGTACGACTCATCATCAGCAGCCATGATCCATCCACTGGTGGATGAAGGCCATCACTCATGGTATTGCGAGGAAAAAAGAACCAGGGTGAACGGAAGACCAGTGCGTGGTGAGGAGTGTGTTGTGGGGTGTGTAATGACAGGTATGTGAGTGGAGGGATGTGTGGTGAGAAGTGGGTGGGATATATGGTGAGTATTGGCAAGGTGTGTGGTGAGGTGTGGTAGTGTGTGTGGTAGGGTGTGGTGAGGAATGGCAGATGCGTGGTGAGGAGTGTCAGGGTGTGAGGTGCGAGTGTGCTGTGCCCACACGTGCATACACACGACGGCACATACACGCGCAATCACCGAGTGCACACACGTGCGCGTGTATCACATCTGAAGTCAAAGCGCGTAAAAACACTCGCCCAGGCTGACTGGCCACTTGCAGACACCAAACCAGCAGTCATCATGGAGCAGCGTGCGGATAACACTCTAAAACCACTCTCTGTGAAATTTAATCCATCATTTTTGCCGTATTTGCTGGGTAGGTCGATAGATATCAGCCCCGGAGGCAGTCGGCTGCTCTCAATTCCTCTCGCAGGCTTGACGATGGCGCGGCACAGATACTCCGTGGCGTGATCGTGATAACTCTAACCTCAATTGATAACTTTAGACGACATCATATTTGCTTACTTGTATTTCAATGCTGTCTGTTGTTTCCCGAGGCCGATTTAGCTGTATTATTTTAGCTTCAAATGTGTATATTATAATACAGTTGCTGTTTTCGAATTAGTTGTTTACTTGTCGTCGTTTACCGAATACTCTTGGCTGTCACATATCGCACATTGCAATTACTTTTCGTTTATGGTTTTATTTTTCGTTGTCGTATTGTTTTAGCGGGTTTTTGTGCCGTCTGCAGCTGCAATTATTTTTTTGTTTATTTCCCATTGTCGTAGGCCAGGGTAGAATTCTGCTCATAGGTTTTCTGTTAATCAATGAGCGAGAGTTTGTATATCCGTAACTGCCACGTCTAAATGCGATCAATTGCACGTGCTTTCTCATTTTCCGTTTCCGAGTGAAATTCAACATTGTCGCGGCAGATGCGGTCTCCCAATGTCGAACAATGCTGAACAAAAGTAGTGAATGACGAACACATCGCCCTATCGCGGGTAATTATGCCAATATTTCCTGTGCCGATCCTCGGATATGCTTCGGCTGTTCCTGATCTCCTCTGGCTCGTTCCAAAGCTGTGAGCCGTTCTTGTTCCCTAGCTCCTTCTGGGTCGTTCCATTGGCTGTTCTGGTGCCGTTCTCAGCCAGTTCTTAGGCCAGCAGATCACTGTGCCTAGGCCAGGGGTCGGCAACCTACGGCTCCGGAGCCGCATGCGGCTCTTTACGGGCTGCTTCTTGACGATGAGTACGTATGTACTCAGATGCATTGCGGCTCTTGAAATACTGAATTTTGTACCGAATTGGAAAGAAATGGCTCTTCTTGTTATTTTGGTTGCCGACCCCTGACCTAGGCCATTCCTCAAGTTAGCAGAGCTCACTTCCAAGCGCCCATGGAAACGGGGCATTAGGCTTGTGCTAAGGAGGCATTAAGTGGCCGCGGGAGGGACGATGAATAATTAAGCGTCGCACAGCGAGTCCCGGCTTGATGGTGACTGTGGATTATAATCGGCACCATGCAGGCCTTTGTTTCGTACCCAATTATCGCTCTCCAACCGCACTCGATGGCGGGGGGGGAGGACCCCCTTTTGGGGGCTCACGGGAGCCTCCGTGGGAGCGTTGGAGAACAATGATTGATGCCGGCTGTACGAGGAACCTTTAATGCGAGTTAATTGGTGTCTGGGAGGAGGGATATTAGTGTCGTGTCCGCGTTGAGAGGCGACGGAAATAGAAAGGCTCTGTTTTGGTCGCCGTAATTGGGTCAATTGCCGCGCAGGAACACTTTAGGGGAGCAGAGAGTTATTCACGTTACGTATGCGTGGTGTCACGAGCAATTAATCATTGTAATTAATGCATTGAGCATGCGCCTAAAGAAGACCGCTATTAATCAGTGAATGGTGCATACTCTGATATGTGGATCGGACACGTGCGTGTGGTCATTCACGAAGAAAATAGAACAACCATTGAAAAGTTGCGCGTAGAATGTGGAGAGACGCATGCTTGGAATGACACTGAAAGACAGGAAGCACGCATAGATAAGAAAACATCATAGTGTGCATGAATAGTAAGCGAGGTTTGGCGGGACAAGTCTTAGCTTTAAGGGATGATGGCCAATGGTCGAGACTAAATTTTGGAATATCGGCCAAAGGAGGGAATATGCCGAAGATAAGCACGCGGTATGGAGATGGAGCGATTAAATAAGGCGGTGTGCAGGTTATAGGTGAAGTGAGGGATGTTGATTGCGAGGGAAGGCCTTCTTCATCCAGCAGATGATAAAGCACGGCTGATGACGATTCAGCCCCTTCACAGTTCAATGGACTGTCAGGATTTGATTTCCAAAATCTAATTTTTTTTGCCCCATTCTGTCCGTATATTTTTTTACCCCCCATCGGAAACATTTTATATGAGCATATAATTTGCATTAACATCATCATCACCATGACCGGCCATCGTCTATCCACTGCTGGGTGAAGGCACCCCAATTTCATTGCCATCCTTCATGGGCATGCGATGGCCACGTTCCATCTCTCCGCTCCTTTGTGTGAAATGATCTCATCGCCCCATCTGCGAAGTGATCATTTCTCTCGGGAGTTCTACAAAATATCATTTGCATAGCCTGCAAATCGCTTGTGCAAACCCTGCAACCACCATGCTGACGTGTTTGACTTATGCAAATGATGCAACGGGGGGGGGGGGGGGGGGGGAGGGGTTTGCAGAGTTTCGGGTTTCCGTAAACCCTGCAACAACAACTCCATCCTGCACGCACTCTCCGATCCAGCAAAAAAGGTTCTTATATCGTACGTAGATATGTAATGTTAAACTTATTTCACACCGCAAGTAGCCAACCGTTCTAATTGAAGGCCCCCTGGAGGTCACTACCCTGCAGGTCACTATTTCTCCACTGCAGCCCCAATCATCTGCAGATCCCTTCCCACAGCCATCCGTCCTGTAGGTCCTGTAGACTCCCTGCCCCTGTTCAAGTCCAGGCTCAAGACCTTCCTCTTTTCCTCTATGACAGCTGACTGGACATACAACATACATTGCGTTGTATGTACACTGTAGGTGGATCGGGGGAAAAAACAAGTTTGTCGATGCATGACACGATGCTTGCATTGTGAGCTTAGGCAGCTAGGCGGTTCTGGGGTCAGAGCACGGAGCCATCATCGCCGAGACCCAAGGTTAGAATCCGGGTTTTCGGCCGCCTGTGGTGATGGTGTAAGCTTGGTCACTGGTGACTGCACAAATGCACATCAAATAAATGCCGGATTTGCACTTAACCATGGAAAAAAATGCCATCTCCGATATATAAAAACGTCAGTGTGACTGCCGTGTGAGGAACATCTCTACAGCACTGCACATGGGAAGTAAAAGACACTAGTGTGGGTGATTATGTGGCCATGTGGGTGATGGGATGTGTAAAACAAAGCATTCATGTGAAGGGTCTGATACGTGAAGGCGGCATAACATCTGCTTATTTATATTGTTATTTATATTCTCCATGACGACGCTGCTGATTATCTTCATCTCTCGTCTCAAGTAAAGTTCATACATTAATGTATTTAACTTTCATATTGACAGATGGGTTTTAGACTTCGGGGTTAATGTCTTATTTGCATGGGTCAGAGAGATGGACTTCAGCAAAGCACACAGAAAGGAAGCTTGTGAAGTTTGAGTATTGGGTATACGAGGAAGATGCAAAGGATATCATGGCAGGCCAGGGTAGCAACCTGAAAGCCCAGAAACGAATTGTCGATGTAAATCAGGAACATGAGGCTGTTATGGGTGGGACACGTGTGCAGGATGGAGGAGGGCAGGATACAAGACAGGCATTGCAGCGCGGTGAGCGAACAAGGGGGAGACACTTTAAGGTGGTGGTGATGAGACCAAGGGAGGTCATGGAAGGTTGGGCCGTCTGCTATTTAACAGTTGTGTTTATATCGG